AAAAAGTTGCATCCCAGTACCTGCTGAGGAACCTGAGAAGTAAAACTCCACAATTCACTTTGCTGTTTGAAGCTAATGCGTATACACACATATACAGAGAGAGCAATATAATGATATTCTTCATCTGCCTGGTGTAGGATGAGGTTAATCCATGCTAGACAAACCAAGGTGACCAAGTCAAGCATTGGCCATGGAACTTCTTGAGCTAAGCATGATGAGGTGGAAAACACAACAACCATTACTTTGATTTAACTACTACAACATGGAATTGAAGAAGTTATACAATTCAGTCCCTTTCTCTGCCAAATCAACAATGTTTGCATATTAACTTTTGCCTATCAGATATGCCTGATACAGCATTAAATCTCCCAAATATGGGAATGTTCAGCACTCTGGTGTGAGTCTTCCTCTAACTGAAACCACTTTTTCATGAGCTAGTTTTTCTCTTCTTAAGATGTTACCTCAGCCTGGTATGATTTCCTCATATTACTGTTAACACAAAACTTTTTGCCCTCATGGCACTTACAGCCCACACTAGTTTTTGGACTTTTACCAGTGTAAACCTTTCTAAGCCGAGTTCTTCCAGTATTCTTCAAATGGGAGATGTCTCCAGCCCGGGTGAGATTTCAACCTTAAAAACTTCCCACTGACTCAGGAGATGGCAAATCACTGACTGGAAATCAGTGAATCACTATGTCTTGGATGCTTGCCCTGAGAGCAGAGGAGTACATGGCTTGACCCTCCTTTGGGAACAGAGGGGGAAAAAAAGTTTAAAAAAAGACCTGTTGTGAACCCAGTCCAGTGGCCAGTGATCAAAGAGGTGAAAGAGCAGACTTATTTTCTCTACTTATTTTCTCTGTGTGCTTATAACAGAGTGTCTGGATCAGAAAGCTCCTGTTTGTGCTCCTGACCAGGCTCCAGACCTGGCAGATCTGACCAAGTCCCTGATCAGTCAAGTAAACACCCTGATAGCCTAACCTGCCCTCGTAGCATCTGGCTCCTGAATCATCCAGCTTCTGGACCACTTGCGTTTAAAATAAATGGCACAAACGTTCTAGTTTCTTGGCCCAGTCAAGTAAGATGAAAATGGTTATTTAGGCTCTCCTAGTGAAGCTAGGTTTTGTCTCTCCTCTTCACCATTACTTTCATTTTCTTCTTCCCTCCCAGATCCAGGCCTCCTGCCTCCAGAGCTTCAAAGGCCAATGTTAAAAATATTAAGGCAAATGAAGTAAGAGATACAACTGATATAAAATGCTTGGCCTGCACAGAACCAGACATGCAGATCTTTGTGTCTGGACAGACAGGTAGTTACATCAGAAGACAGACAGGACTTGCACTGCAAGTACAGAGGTGCATCATCTGTGGTTGTTTGGTACTCACTGGGTTGGCAGGAGAAAGGCAAGGAAGATAAAATAGCCATTTGAGAGAGGATACAAGCTGTACTTGGCAATTGAAAGGTAATGACTCAGGAAAGACAAGGAATCCTGCAGAAACCTGCTTGCTTTCCCATGGCTTTAAGTAAAATTGGCAGGATGAGCACCAGGACAGATGTCCGAGGATATCTGAGGACACACAGGAGTGCACGGGACAAACATACCATTGTGGCTTTTGGTCATAAAATCCTCTCATGTTGCAAGATGCAGTCTGGGTGAAGGAGGGTTGCAAGTGCAATTTTCCCCAGCACAAAGTCCCTGTACACAGCAGCATGCACCCAGAGACTTGAGAAGCAACACAGGTGTGGCCATCCCTGTGAAAAGCAGCTTGTTGGCTTGTCGCAGCTATGCGCATGAAATTCGTTTAGGTTTAGCAACAGATGCCAGCAGTTCAGCTGTACAGTGGATTGTGTTATTTATATCTTGGGAGGCATCCAAGAAATAGAGGGAGAGCAATTGGGGGATGATGGCTGAGTGCTCATTCTTCCACTGTGCAGCAGTGCTGGCTGCTGCAGTTATCCAAGGTTAGTGCAGATGTACGACCAAAATTAATGCATGACCATATGCAGTACCCACACTGCAAGCTGCCAAGGAAGGGGAATGTTTTTCTGCAATTCCTGTACATACTGATATACTGGAGATGCACTTTGTTACCTTGAAGTATATACAGGAAAGGCAGGAGGCCTGGAAAATCTCCATCACCTTTTTAAGTGAAGGGAAATGAAACAAAAAAAACCAAACCAAGCCTAAAAGTATTTTCTCTGAAGAGATGTCAGCCTGCCATGTACATACTGGGAATATGCCTTTTGTCTCTGATTTACAGTGTTGGATGAGAAATGAGCTGCTAAGGCTCATGGGGTGCTCAGAACAAAACACAAGCAAGGCAAAGATTGCCTTGAAGAAAAAGAACTGGGGGTGCTGGTCAACAGCCATCTGAATATGAGCCAACAGTGTGCTCAGAGAGCAAAGATTGCTGAATGGCATCCTGGCCTGTATCAAGGATAGCGTGGCCAGTAGGCCCAGGGCAGTGACTGTCCCCCTGTCTTTGGCACTGGTGAGGCCACACCTCGAGTCCTGTGTTGAGTTTTGAGCTTCTCACTCCAAGAAAGACATCCAGTTGCTGGAGCATGTCCAGAGAAGGGCAAAAAAAGCTGGGGAAAAGTCTAGTAGGAGGCTCAGGGGAGATCTTACTGCTCTATATAACTACCTGAAAGGATGTTACAGTGGAGATCAGTCTCTTGTGACAAGGCAAGAGGAAATACCCTCATATTGTGCCAGAGAATGTTTAGATTGGATATTAGGGAAAAAATTCTTCAATCAAAGGGCTGCCAAGCATTGGAACAGGCTGACCAGCATTGGAGCAAGCATTGTCCACGGAAGAGTTAAAAAGACATGTAGATATAGTGCTTAGTGACATTCTTCTGAAGGGCCTACAGCAGAAAAGCCATAAAATTCTGCAAGCTCAGAGTGCAGGCAGTGCTGCATTGAATAGCAAAACACATGGGAGACTGGTTTTAAAGGTAACGTTGTTAGCTAGGGCTGGAGAGGGTATGTTGTCTGCTGTCTGAACCTCATGTCTCTGCAGCTTTTTCCTCAACTATCTGCTTTGTTTGCAATAGAGGGTCATGCACAGCAATTCTTGCAAAGAGTCATGTGCTTCTCAGCCACCCATGGGCTGCTGCAGTGAAGAGCAGGGGCAAAGGGGACAGTACAAGAGTTGTGCCTGGCAGAACTCAAGAGCATACCTAGAGTGAAAGACAAACGTTTTCTTGGTATAGGCTCTTTCCCTTTCTGCCTCCCCTTCCCTTTCTCCCCCTTCCCCTCCTTTTCTTCCTTAAATTCGTGTAAAGGTTATTTCCACTCAGACTTCTGCTGAGTCTTTTTTTTCTGCTTAGACAGAGCACTGGCTCAATCCAAACTCAGTGGCAGCATGTTCTCTATTGCTGGGAACCAGCAGAATTCCTAGCAGAATTCCCATTTGGGCTATTTGGAATCCCTCCCTGCCCCCATCACGTTTAACATTTAGCAGTATAGAAGCACATGCAAGTGAGTCTTTCATATGGCAATGAAAAGATATTGCAGTTATCAACTAGAAAAGCAGTGTTGACAAAAACAGCAATCATGGGCCATAGCTATCTATTCTTATCCTTGCCGTAGCCTACAGCAAATAATTTTGCTTCCATTCCCTCATCTTGTTCCAATATATTTTGCCAATCATATAGACCCCAATTGTACATCAGTCCGTGATTATCCCTAGTAGATGTCTTGGCTGGTATTATTAATTATATTCACTGTACATGTGAAATTTCCATGATTTTGGTTTGACTTGACTCATATTTGCTGCTAAGAACTACATGGAATTTATAATAGATCCCTGGTGCAAACAAGGGATTATCTATTTGCTTCCTGTTGTGGTAGCTTTAAACGCTGTTTCGAGGAAAATGGTGCTTACAAGCTTACTTGTTGGTGCAAAAAGCATTGCTCAGTGTCCAGCATTGTGACCTAAGGTACACCATGTGATTGAATTTAGTCTGAGAATAGTACTAAAAATGAACATGAACCCCTGAAAATTCAGGCAGAAAACATGAAAACCCAGTCAAAGTTTTATAATGGTGGGACTATTCTGCTGTCTTGTGACTAATAAAGCACAACTAACTATAAAAAGTTGCAGCTGACAGGGATCCCATCTGCCTCCCTTTGATGTTTGTGGACATACTTTGCCTTGCCTTTTGTGTTGTGCTTTTGTGTTTGTGTCTGCCTGAACCTGTAAATGCCCTCAGTAGTCCTTGACGAAAGAACTAGATGGTATGTGCAGCTGACAGTCAATATGCATCACATACTGAACTTTATTAGGTCCCTTTAAAAATGCCTCATATTACATGACCCTCAAAAATACACAGATCCATTTCCCTGCACTGCTTGCCAATATGGACAGAAAAAGAGCAGCAGGGCAGGAAGGGGAACACCCAGTAGGAGCTGTGATTTGTTTTGTTTGTTTCTTGATACAAACAGTTTCTTGGATCTGAGCTTCACAAATCTGTCCTTTGCTGTCATTCACTTACAGGAACTCGCAGTTCATTTTTCCAGGGTGAAGGCTGATGCAAGGCAAGGAACATGCCCCATGGGAATGGACAGACTTTACATTGGGAGCAATGAGACATGCACCACGCTGCTGCCACACTGAACACAATGACGGCAGTGTCCTGATCCTGTTTCATCCATCTGATCTACCTTAGCGCTTTTATGTTTTGCTTGCTTATTAATTTGTCCCGGGCAGAAAACGTCCCCATGTCCCAGGAAGCCACTGGAACATACATGGCTTCGCTAGGGAGAGGTTTTGCCCTGGTGGGGTAGCTCCAAGGTTATCCAAAGTGCTCCTGCTGAGGCAAATCAAGCCAATCAGGAAGCCCCCAGAAACTTGGGCTGTGTTCGGTTTGTTGTTTCCACCCTTAGACATTTCCTGCCATTGTTCTTGTCATTTTCTTTGAGTGTTTGCTGGGCTGGAGGGTGGTGCTGCTAATACCGGCAGGGGAGGCCTCCGGTCCTCTTGGGCACATGGAGAGCTCTGTGTCATTCCTTTCACAGACTCCCAGCACTAATTTCTGGCATACAAGTTCAGGAAAGGTGGACCTGTGGTGGTAACTGCATCTCAGTGTGCAAGGCACTGTTCCTTTTCCCATTGGCTGTTCTCAGCCGGACAAGAATGAAATTGTACCATAAAATGATGAATGAATTCCTGCTCAAGACATTGCTTACCACCCCTGGAGAAGGAGAAGGTGGGTGATAGGCAGAAGCAGCAACTCCACAGCATCCTGGGATTTATATAGCGAGCTGTGGAAATACTGACTATATGCTAAACAATAATGGGTCTAGTTTTATCTCTGCCACCCAGACCCTAGCTTTCACTTTCCAAGGGTACAGGATTTAATCTACAATGATCTAACCCCCCATGCCACTAGAGGACCAGAGGAGGTATAGCTATCCAGGCCCTCCAGACACAATGCCTGTATCTCATTTTTTAACTCTCTGAATTTCATGATTATTTTTTTTATTTCATCAGACACCTCTCACAAGTGTCTACCTGTAGTGTGAAGGACAAAAGACCTGGATGCTGCACTCCTTTGGGTGCTGTTTCAGCCTTAACTGGAAATCACATCTTACCAGTTCCTAGACTCCCCGCAACTGCTCAGGTAATCATGAGCATATCTTTGGATTTCATGTACAGTGAAATACAACTTTCTGTGCAGTGGAGAAATTGTAAAATTGAGTTTGTCCTTGGACAGCATCTATAATTCTACAGAGAGATCCCTGGAAGTGTGATGTTATTGCTGAGCTGTGTGAATGAAGAAATGAGTGGGAAAAATTGCTTTGATATTACTTGGGGCTCCCTTTTCCAGCCCTTTGCCACATTACCTAACATCAGTCAGACCCAAGTCATTGCTATCTGAACCTTCACAGTGCTGGAGCTCAAAAAAAAAAAAAAAAAGAGAATATTAATAATGTGGAAACGCTTTTCTAGTCCTCATTACTGGCTCATGAAAACTTGGAATGAAGTACAGTTTTAACAATGGAATGCTGAAAAGTTTGCCTTAACTTCGTGCTGCATGTTTGTGGTAGGAGTCAGCTGATGACTTCCTGCCTGTGTGGGTCTCAGAGGGGTGAAATTCTTGACCCTAGACTTCCCAAGAGCTGCAGAGCTTCAGAATCAGGATAACACAGACATCTGGACTGCTTTGGTTCAGTGGTGTAAAAAGCAGCCAGTAGAGTATCTGTAGAGTGGGGTGGGTATTTAAAGGGTTATAAATCTTCCTTCTTAAGAGAGCTTCTAAAGCCATGCCACAGTCTGTATTTTGATGGCTGACTTCAAGCTGATCATAGCAGAGAAGTGGCACAGGACTACCTTTCTCAGGGTAAATATCAAAGAGGAGAACCTCAAAGAACCTAGCAGTGTGGTAACCCCCTACTTTCTAATAAATTACATTGCAGTCAGTTCATTATCCTTTATGAAGCAAGCTGAAGAATGCCAAGTGTAGTCTGATGGGCTCCTGGCTGTGATCCCAGGGCTAGCTGGTCATGAGAAGCTAGCTCATCTCCTGTGGTTCCAGTGCATCCCAGGGTTATGACGAACTTCTCTCACATAGGTCTTCTTGACTGTGCAAACCATCTCTATGCCTGGAATGATGGTATTGAGGGATGGGCTAGCAAGGGGAGATGGTCCGTATCACATCTCCAGAAAATTCTGCTATGTAACTTGAAAAAAGAGGCTAAAGTTTTGCAGGGATTTCCTAAAGTCAAAGTGATTAATTTTGTCTGGTTTTGAGTCTCTCAGTCTTCCTAATGCTCAGGGATCTTAGACTGGAGAAAACCTCTGCTGAGTTTTGGCAAAACCATAAACATTCTTGGTCTTACCTGTACAATTTACCCTTCTGTCTCTTTTCTGTGCCTACTACACTTTTTAATGTTGGTATTTGAACAAGACTCAAATAAAGTAAGCTCTTGTAAGAATGGGTAATAATAATGTAAGACCATTGCAAAAATCTGCTTGGGTTTTACTGCACTAATGGATCATTTTAATTTGCTTTGTCTAAAACATGAAATCAAGGGCAAAGACCTCACAGATGTCCATACTATTGAGAAAGCTAGGGCTCATTTCTCAGTTTACTTCATGTAGGCAAGTGTGCACATGCTCAGGACATGGGAAGTTAAGAAATTACTGGCCAGTTGCAGATTGCAGAAGATGTCTGTAGGTACCACCTGAGATGCACAAAAACAGCTTGGAAGTGGTAAAGGTGCTCTTGGAAATGGGATGCAGGTACTTCTGAAAGCTTGTCTCTTGTGATATCCACGCCAAATGGTGTATAGTTATGAATACTTTTCCAGCTTTATTGTTTGAAGAGTCTTCATCTATGAATGTTTATAGTTGAAGTGATCAGGCAGTAGACGAAAGAGCAGTACTCAGAGCCTTGATTTTAAACAAGAGAGATAAAAGAGGTATCAAACTGTAGGTGTGTTTGTAGTTACAGTACTTTGAATAGAGGAAAACTCGGATGTAAGCACATGTTGAAGTGTACCTCTAATTCAAAACTGAAAGGGTAATCGCATTAATGTGACAGCTCAAAATTATTGTCCTACTAATTTGGAATGGACAGATGGAAAATAAAATCAAACTAAAAAGGCCTTATTTGAAATATGGCATAAAACCTGACAACAACAACAATATTCCGGGTGCTGGAAAGCCATCGACTGCATTATGATTACCACCAGAGAAGGGCAATTGGAAGTGCAGGCTGTCAAGATGAGTGGCCAAAGGGCTGGCTGGTTAGTCACTAAGTGCCAGATGGACACCACCAACTGTCTAAATGATTTCTCCCTCATTTGTAATTGGCCTCAGTTGTGGCCGAGCTTCCTGGCTCTGCCTGCAGTTCTCAGGTCTGCTGTTGGCAGCCGCCTTGGTACACAGCCTGCAGAGAGCGTGCAAGCTCCCATCAGCACGACAGTCCCTGAAGGAGCTGTGGGTTTTCTGGTCATCCCCTCCTCTAACAAATTTTGCCCCATTCGTGGTGTGGAACATCCATGTCACCATTTCATTTTATCTTTTTTTTTCCACCTGCTTCTCATTTCCATGCCAGCTCTTGCGATCAATAATAAAGAGACATTTTCTGATATTGGTACAGGACTGCTGATATTTTCCACCTTATGCTATCTTAAGACTGATAAGTGGGACTGTGTAAAGATGTCATTTTGTGCCTTTAAGCATCTCTGGCTTCTCGCCTCTGATCCAAATCCACACTGAGTAGTCTTGTGGCCTTCTGGCTACAGCACTGTTCTAGTCTCTGCTCATCTCCCCATTGTGCCTCTGGCTATGTGCTTAAAGCACTTAAAGCATCATGATCAAGGTATCCTCTTATAGAAAGTCCTCCTGCATTTACTTGCTTCTGCCTTCTTCATTGACATGCTGTCTTTGGGAAATACCAAAGTTTTGAGGCCAAGAAGTCCTCAAAACACTGCTGGGAAACATGCAAATGACTTGATGTTGAGTTCAAAATATTCTGTATGGATTGTTTTGTAGAAGACACAAACCCTAGTTTAGAAGGTGAAACTGGAGCTGCGTGATTCAGGCTACCTTTGGATGGCTTGACATTTGAACCTAAAAGTGACAGAATAATGTACTTGCCCTCATGTAGGTGGTTGTTCTGAGGAGCTCAGTGGTGTTGCAGAGGATGGCTCCTGCCTGGCCTGGTACAGGTGAGAGTACAGCTCTGACCATCATTCTGTCTATGACTGTCTCAGCTGGGTGTCATTGAGATAGAAAGTAGAAACTCTTATCAAAGGTACCAGGCAGACTGCCTCAGCACTGTTTTTTTGGTGTTACAGTTTGCTGGGAAAGAAAACAGAGGGGTCCTACTGCTTTTGAACAGGTCAATACAATTGCAAATGTCAAAATGTCCAACATTAAGTAGAAAAAAGATGCAGGACAAAGGATGACAATGGTTTTTGCCAACAGCACACCAGCAAAAGGTGGGAAGAGCTATGTTCACTTTATCATGTCTGTACACATGAGGTAGGTAATCATGGATAAGTAATTTTCACCCCAAAAATAAGTCTAGCTGTTGGATCTTGTCCAGTGAGCCTCTCAGCTAAGAAACAGCAGATGAATATGGTCACTAAATATCCCAGTGAAATATCCCAGTGTGCTTTACCCCATTTGCAGAAGGCTGCTGGTGGGCTGTAGTCCATTATCATGGCTCATCTAAAGCATGGTAAGGTGATGCACTCTGCTAATCTGACTGTGAGTTTGAGCCCTCCTTTTCTTTCTGTTTCCAGCTCCCACTCCTGAAATCAGTACTGTAGTAAATACCTGCTCGACAGTAATGCTCTCAAAAGCTGTGGCCAGGGACACCAAGAGAATACTGCAGACAAATGCAATTTTTTCTTACATGTTGCTAAATATCCAGTGCCTTTTACACAGCTATTTATCTTTTCTCATTTCCCCTTAGACCTCCCTCATGCTCTTCCCACAACATGATTTTGTGGAGTCATACATGACAGTGGAGGAAATGCTTGTTTAGCAGGGTTTTTTCCCCTAATATGTATAATACAACAAACCTTCAGACAGACATATAAATCCATGGACCAAGGGAACACTGCAGAAAGGCATGAAATTCTAAACTCAACGCTTATGGTCCTACATCACCTTGTACTATTATGGTATATTATTATTATGAAAGTCACATACTAGCTGTCTTTCCTGCTTCCCATTCCTGCTGTGTGGCTTGCTTTGATAATTGGAAATTGCTCCACAAACTGACTGCTGCCAGGAGACAGAAAAAGGTCTACCACATACCACAGCAGCAAAGAATCAAGGTCCAGATAGCAGAAGAAAAATAAAGGGAAAATAAAAGTCCCTACGACTGCATGCATAAACAGGATGTGCAAGGACCGACTGCGGGAGGAAAAGCTTCTCTGCAGTGTATGAGGCCATCTAGTGAGCTCAGACATTGTAACAGCTCAGCTTTTTCCATGGCATTTTGTCCTGCTTGTCCCCATCAGGACACTTCACATGCCAGCTGCCAGACAGGTATGCACACAAATAGTTCAACAGTATTCTTCACTGCAAGGTGAAAGGAGAAAAACTTCTGCAGGAGAAGAGAGAGTGACAACAGAAAGGACATGGAGGATGTCAGGGAGCTTGGCATGCTAGGTTTTTATGAGAAGTCAGAAATCCAGTTATGCTGGCAGTAGAAGGCCAACGTGGTGTGCAACTTTTCACTGAATCCTGT